TTTCGGCCACCAGGCCTTAGACGAACGCGTTTCGGTCATAGACCTGGAACAGGTGAAATAGGGCTACAACCTCCTTTACAAACCGCAGCTCCAAATCCCAGGTCTCAGGCTGGAAGGTGTCCAATGAAGGCCTAATGGCCGAAAGCCAACACGTTTTGGCCATACACCTGGAACAGGTGAAACAGGGCTACAACCTCCTTTACAATCTGCAGCACCAAAACCCAGGCTGAAGGGTCTCCGATTAAGACCTAAGGGCCGAAAGCCAACATGTTTTGGCCATTAGGCCTTGATGATTAAGGGGTAATGGCTGAAACACATTGATTCTTATCATTATGGTGCCGGCTTTTTCCCATATATAGACCTGCCTGATGGGACTGTACAAGCCAGCAAGACAAGGAGAAAGAATGGGCCCAGAGAACAGGCCAACAGACTACCTGCCAGCAGAAAAACACCAACACAGCCAGCTGCTGGTCCAGCAGAGAAGAGCATGACTGGCTATTTCTGGTACCTACAGACATAAGGATCATCACCCAATCTGCAAACAATAATCAACTCATGTCTGAGTACCATAAAGTAGCTGAATATTGTTCTTTCAATTTAGGAGCAATCCTATTCTCTCCATCTGAAACTGATAACAGGGATGGAGGGTGAACAGCCTAACTACCTTGTATCCCAGCAGAAATTATAAAAGGAGGTTCTTGCCACCATGGTGTCCAGTTGGGTTAAAGAGTAGCCAGATGAGCAGACAAGTTCCTGATAGATCCGCCCACAGCTGGCAGCATATTCACACGACTGCTGCTTTATCCAACATGGAACACTGGGGACAACAGTTTTTTTTGTAGTTTTTCTAGTGTTTAGGTAACCTGGTCATAATCAGGAAGACATGTACTGTTAAAATTTACATAGAGTTCTGCTTTAAATTAAACCGGTCATTGGAGGTAGAGGGGATGTCAATACTGACCAGCTATGGAGAATGCTACTTGCCTGGCTGATATCTGACGCCTGGCATGATTTTCTAAGTCAGGCCAAAATAAATATGAAGATCACTAGATTCAGATTCCTCATCTCCATACTTGTCCTGAACCAGTAAACCAGCATTGCCGTAAATAGGGATACACAATTGTTACCACTGGGTTCCTCCTGTGACAGGTTTTCTTTAAGGAGTGGTAGTCAAAGGCATCAACTGTTTGCAGAACACCTACATTTCTCTATTTAAATGGCAGTCACAAAACCCTCAGGCTACTAAAAAAAACCACTACTAAAAATCGATCACTTCAGTTGGCACACAACACAGACAATGAAAGAAACCTTGTGCCCAACCCGAAAAGATATCTAAACCCAAGGACTAAAATGTGATATTCTGCAGCTTAACAGTCCTTGGATGTGGTGGCTGTATTCATTTCCATCTACATTATCAGCATTGCAAGAACACGTGTCCATGTAACTTTATGTTATGCCTTCCTCTAGATCAACTGTGGCTATAGGATTATAACTTTTTTTTTTTTTCTATGGTTGAACTGGATGGACTTTTGTCTTTTTTCAGCCAAACTAACTATGTCACTATGTGCACTCAACTGAAGCAGGGAAACAAATATTAAGTACTGAAGTGGTGCGGATGGACAGATTGTGCAACACATCGCAAAACAATAGATCGTAAAAATTAAGAAACATAAAGATGAGACTGTCAAGGTGTCACTCACTTCTAGGAAAAAGAAACAAACCCAAAGTATAAAATCAAAGCATTTATTGTATCATTGTTAAAATGCACCTAAAAGTGCAGAAGAAGAAAAAAAAAAAAAAAAAAAAAAAAAGAAGATATATGTCCCCACAATCATAATTTCATAAAAAGTGCCTTGCATATAACCTCAGAACATCCAAAATGTCTATAAAACCCTTTTTAACATAACATAAAACTCCAAAGACATGCTGGTAGGTGAATTGGCTCCTGTCTAAATTGCAGTACATCCTTTTAGAACATCCTTTTAGAACATAACCTTTTAAAACAGATCACATATGGGGACATATATATTTATATTAAAAAAATATATATATATTTTCTGCACTTTTAGGTGTATTTTAACACCGATACAATAAATGCTTTGATTTTATAAGTTTGGTTTCTTTTCCCTTGAAGCTAATAAGTCCCATCATTTGTCTATTTATGTGAAGATTGAAACAAAGCTGTCAGCTTTCTCGGCTATCCTCTGGGAACTACAGTGTGAGTTCCTGTGTGTGGAGTGTGATGTGGGGGGGGAGTGAGAGTGTGTGTGTGTGTTGAGTGTGTGTGTGTGTGTGTGTGTGTGTGTGTGTGGGGGGGGGGGGGTTGTAGGTTTGTAGTCCCATTCTTGGTCTTAAAGTAGAACTTCACTCTGTCAGTCAAAGACTATACTATTGCTAGCAGCATAAGGATTAATAAACGGATAGGAAGGTATACTATATATCCTTGTTTTACATTTGTTTAAATTTCTTCAGTTACTTCCTGGTTTACATGCCTAGGCAAATGATGTCATACATCCCAGGAGACTTCAGCAGGGGTTTTCCTAGCCAAGCACACCCTCCTGCCTGCATGCCCGAGTTAAGGGCAGATGGATTCCATGAAGTAAATACTACGTAAATCATCTGCCTATACTTAGGATAGCCACAGCCAGAATTGCTAGGGTGTTTTTCAGAGTGATCTCAGCACAATAAAGCATGGAGACATGGATGGATGGATGGGGGGGAGTTTGATTTGAATAAAAAAAATGAATTAAAGCAGAGCTCCACCCAAAAGGGGAAGTTCCGCTTTAAGTCTTTGTCCCCCGCTCCCCATTAAGGATTTGCACCTTTGGGGAGTGGGTACCCAAATTTGACAGGTATCCACTCACTTCTGCTGCAATCGCCTAAGGAGATTGGAAGAGGAATTTGTCCTCCCCCCTCCCTCCCCGTAGTCTTCTGGGACACGTGACAGGTCCTAGAAGACTACAGGCCCATTCACAAAGCGCAGTGCTACTCGCGCATGGGCAGTGGGCACCCGGCTGTGAAGCCGCAAGCTGTCACAGCCGGGCGCCCACATAGAAGATTCCGGCGCCAGGGAGAGAAGATGGCCAGTGAAACCAGCCATGGTGAGGACACCGCTGGACTGAGGGACAGCTAAGTGGCTGTATTTTAAAGGTAAACAGCTACAGTTTATGTAGCCGATGACTATTTTTTTTTTTTTCTTCAGCTGGAACTCCGCTTTAAATAGCGTTTTGATTTGTTGTTCTCATATGCAGTGCAGTTCTGCTTTAAGGTGACAATGTTGCTTCACCACAGACACAATACAGTGAGAGCTAGCGTCGTCACCCTAGGACAGCATGTATGTCTAGGTCAGGATCAACAGGAAGAAAACCTGAAGAAGGAAAACAAATTAAGTCCTCGCTTCTAAAAAAAAAAAAAAAAAAAAAAAAAAAAAAAAAAAAAAAGGAGCAGGCTGCAATATATTACATTCGTGTTCTTAGTTTTAGATACAATAATCAAAATGGAAGGATGATGTGTGTGGGCATAATGTGACTCTGTCCCATACGAAATGCAATAATACACAAGAGAAGAGTCCAAGGGACTTTAGAAGACACCGTAAAGACAGTAAAAGACTTATATTTTATTGATTAAAAAAAAAAAAAGGCTCAAGATGGGTATAAAAAAAAAAAAAAAAAAAAAAAAAAAGGTTTGATAGACATACATATAAATATAGGTAGTTCCATATAACTCTTGCACAAATCGACACGTTTCGTGAGACAAGGTTCACTTCCTCAGGAGAAAACTCAAATATGTACAGGGAAACCAGTTTTTTTTTTTTTCTTACAAACAACCTGGTTTCCATATAGACATTTATGAGCTCTCACATCTCCTGAAGTGAACATCTCACGAAATGCGTCGAGATTTGTGCAAGCGCTCGTCTGCTATGAATCACTTATGATGTTGAATCCATATGTAACTACTCACACTTAAATGTATACTATTACTCTATGTATTATACAGCGGTTCAGGTGCCAATTTTTAAAGTGTATGACTCTAGAAATTGCACCTGAACCAGATTGAAAATCTCATGAAAATTGTAAAAAAAAAAAAAAAAAAAAAAAAAAAAAAAAAAAAAGCGGCTGGCCTGCACGTGTGAACCAACTTTATAATTGGTTCACATGCCCTGCAAATCGGATGCAGTTCAAAACGCATCCAATTCACATATATGAGAACCAGGGCTCAAGGTTTTTATACCCAGCTTGAGCCTTTATTCAGGTTTATTTTCAATAAAATGTAAGTCTTTTACCGTCTTTGACGCGTCTCACAAAGTCCCTTAGGCACTTCTCTTGCTTCTGTAACGTAGTTTTAGATACACTTTGATAACCAAATGAATAAAGATACAAAAAAAAAATTGACGGAACTTTTGAGGAATATCGAATGTGTCATTGAAGTTAATACAAAAACATTATTTTTTGGCGTTGTTCTAGAGAATGAGATTCCGGGAATCAGCACCAAACCTAGCGGTAAAAGCCCAACCAGCTCAAACCAGACAGATAACACTGTTCTCATTTCAGAGATAAACTCTCCAAGTCTTTGTGTCTACTGGAAGAGCCCAGATGTTATATTACCATCAAGTTTTTACCGCGAGGAGGTCAGAGCAGATATGGATTAGGACCACTGAAATGGACCGATGCCCAGTGAGATGAAGGCAGGACATTAGGAGGGTGACACCCCAGAGATGATTAAACAGGGTGACATATGAACCTGCTGTAATTCCAAGGTCCTGAAGGCAGCATTTTGGAAAGGACCAACAGGGGATCTTCAGAGCACGGTCCAGCCGGCAAGCTGTGTCTTCTCCAATATCTTATCTTCACACATATCAAAGAGACGTCTCATGGACCACGTATGAGTGTCCACCATCGGGGCGAGAAACCCCCATAAAGTTCTCCTCCATTTCATCTTTTTCTGTCTCCTTCACACTTCCGTTCAGGAAACCATTGCAGGGTTTGTCGGCCACCAAGGGCTTTGGAAGGTTCTGCTCATCCTTCGAAAAAACAACAAGAAACCTTTAGCCAACATAATCGCTTTATAAACTGTTCTAGTCAAAAGACTTTTTTTTTTTTTAAATCAAAACCTCAGGGCAATTGCTAAATAAAATAGAAATACAGTATGACTCTATAGCAGTGTTTCTCAACCTTTTTTCAGTTAAGGCACCCTTTAAAATTATGGACAGTCCTGAGGCACCCTTAAAAATTATGGGCAGTCCTGAGGCACCCTTAAAAATTATGGGCAGTCCTGAGGCACCCTTAAAAATTATGGACAGTCCTGAGGCACCCTTTAAAATTATGGACAGTCCTGAGGCACCCTTTAAAATTATGGACAGTCCTGAGGCACCCTTAAAAATTATGGACAGTCTTGAGGCACCCTTTAAAATAATGGACAGTCCTGAGGCACCCTATTCTAAAATGTGAAAAAATATTCCAATAGTTTTCTATAACGCAGCAACATCCACACATGTGGGACACCCAACGCTACGGGTGATCTATTCTTCCAAAAACAAATATACTTTTGCACACTGGTACTGACCAGTATTCCATGGATTCTCTTCTCCCTCAGTTTTCCTCCATCACTGAGCTAATGTGACCCCAGAACTGATGGAGAGGGGCAGGGGAGGGTCAAACAAGGAGGCTGTGCAGGCAGCTAACATACTCCTTATCAAATGTTGATGTCATTGGTTGTCAGGACGTTCGAGGCTAGAAGGTCGTAATGATGCACAATGAAAATCTGGGCATAATGTGTAACTAAAAAGACAGGCTTGTTCCACCCGCTGGATTGTATACAAAACATTTTGACAAGGCCCCCCTGAAGAAACATCAAGGCACCCTGGCTGAGAAAGGCTGCCCTGGAATATTGCTTGGGGAAATGCTGCTCAGGCTGTTGGTGTCCTGCAGGATGGATGCCGATGCAGTCAGAGCGTAGGCTAGGAAAGGTCCGTCCAGACCTAGAGCATGCAAACAAGATGACAGGTTTCCTGGGTGCTGCACACACCACTTGGCTATGCTCCCAATGGGTTTCATTGCGCCCCTGGGCCTTAATCATGAACCTCCAAGATTAAACCCCTGGGGTGGGGCGAAATGCGTTGGATGCGATGGACTGAGCTGAGGCTGCTTTTACCTGTCTACTACATGCTTACATGAACAGTGAAAGAGAAGCAGCAGACTGATGAGCTCATCCCTCCATCATTCTGCTCTCCTCTCCCATCCACATGCCCCTTGCGGTGCACCGGTCCTGACTTGCTCCTTGTACTGCTTCCCCTTCCCCTCTGCTATACAATAGACTGAAAAATGAAAAAATGCAGATACAAAATCAAATTGGGGTACTTACACCGCTAGTATTGAAATAAAAAAGTCAAGGATGTATTCATGATTTCAGACCCAGATTCTGGATAGAGTGGGGAGGTATGAAAGCATCTTCTATTGCCATCTGTGTGCTGGAGACATCCACAGTTCCAGCTGGTCAAGGTGACCATTGTCATTAGACACAAGGTGCGGGGAAATACAAAACTTTGCCATTAACATCTTCCCCTCCGGCCCATGTATATAAACGGCCGGACGGGAGCAGTGCAGGGGCAGGTGGCAGTTTATAAATGTCCTCTCCGCTTCCCTGCCTGTGCGCACACTATTCCTCCCACTGATACCAATGATGGGGCGCTATTCCTCCCACTGATACCAATGATGGGGCACTATTCCTCCACTGACAGCAATGATGGGGGACTATTCCTCCCACTGATACCAATGATGGGGCACTATTCCTCCCACTGATACCAATGATGGAGCACTATTCCTCCCACTGATACCAATAGATGGGACACTATTCCTCCACTGATACCAATGATGGGGGGGCACTATTCCTCCCACTGATACCAATAGATGGGACACTATTCCTCCCACTGATACCAATGATGGGACGCTATTCCTCCCACTGATACCAATGATGGGGCACTATTCCTCCCACTGATACCAATGATGGGGCACTATTCCTCCCACTGATACCAATGATGGGGCACTATTCCTCCCACTGATACCAATGATGGGGCACTATTCCTCCCACTGATACCAATGATGGGGCACTATTCCTCCCACTGATACCAATGATGGGGCACTATTCCTCCCACTGATACCAATGATGAGGCACTATTCCTCCCCCTGATACCAATGATGGGGCACTATTCCTCCCCCTGATACCAATGATGGGACACTATTCCTCCCACTGATACCAATGATGGGACACTATTCCTCCCCCACTGATACCAATGATGGGGCACTATTCCTCCCACTGATACCAATGATGGAGCACTATTCCTCCCACTGATACTAATGATGGGGCACTATTCCTCCCACTGATACTAATGATGGGGCACTATTCCTCCCACTGATACCAATGATGGGGCACTATTCCTTCCAACTGACACCAATGATGGGGCACTATTCCTTCCAACTGACACCAATGATGGGGTGCGATTCCTTCCACTGACACCAAAGATGAAGATTATCCTGCATGCACAGTAGGCACCCGGCTGTGAAGCGGTCACAGCCGGGTGCCCACACTAAAGATGTCGGTACTGGGGAGAGAAGACAGCCGGTGAAACCAGCCATGGTGAGGACACCACTGGACTGAGGGACAGGTAAGTGTCCGTATTTTAAAAGTCAGCAGCTACAGTTTTTGTAGCTGCTGACTTTTATTTATTTTATTTCTTTTAGCTGGAACTCTGCTTTAAGTAAATCCAAGATTTCAGTCTAGGGTCCATTCAACAATATTTCTAGAGAAGACAAGCTGGGCGTAGACAATACAATGTACCTTTAACAGTCTGGTCTCTTGGAGCTGCCCTACCTCTGCTATGTGAGGCACCCCAAACCGCAATCTCTCCTTGTATCTCTCAGGCAGGAAGAAGAGCAGCTTTGGGAGGACGAGGTACACCGTATGTGGATTCACATCCTTCCCCTTCATTGGGCCTGAAAACACACAAATCAATTTTCAATAACAAAATCTTCAACCACCATCGTTGCCAATCACAAAGAAAGATTAACGTGATTGCTCATGCAGATACTGCTGGCCAGTAATTGGCTTCCCTTCACAGATTCACACAATAAAGCCTTATTTTCAGTCCATTCAAGGTTCTCATTTTTACCTTGAGCCCTGATGAAGTGGGGTCTCCTCCGACCCCCGAAACACGTTGGCTATTTTTTTTTTTATTTTTTTTTAGCACCATGCCAATGAATGAATTTGGACTCTTGGTTTGGTACTCCTTCCAAGTTTGCATTTTTGGTTTTTTTTGGTAACCTGCTGTGATACCCACTGGAGGGTAGCCTTGTCTGCCTAATCTGAGCCAATGGGCTCTTCAAATGTTTTTGCCCTCTCACTACTTCGTATAAAAACTCATATTAAAAGTCCCAACGCCTCTTGGATACCTTTTTTTTTGTCATGGGTTAGAAGCTGGAGACCTTTGGAGGCCTGGACCCCTCTGTTAAATCAACAGAAAACAGGCTAAGGAATGGTTCTATCGGTTCCTTACCAGTCAGAAGGCTGACAATGATGCCGACAATGACAACGGTGGTGGAGTTGTGAGCGCTGTACCACATGTAGGACAAACTGTAAAACTTCTGTAGACCGGTCACACTGGAAGGAAACAGAAAAAGGGAAAGAGCCGTGAGCCTGCCGTTTGGTCAGGAGCGACTGGAGTCAACATCACTGTGTTAGAGACCTGTAAGGATATGAATGTGGCCGATGCCCTTGACAATCTGTTTTTAAAAAGGTGCACGTTCCATTGTGTGCCATTCATAATCCTTGCTTTTCTACTTCGTAAACCACTCACCTTAACCGTTTTCGAGTCACCCTATAGCAGAAATAGTGCTACAGGGTGGCACGGGCAAACAAAATCACGTGATTCTGCAGTTTCGGATGGGGGGAGGGGGGTGCACCACCATTCGCGGGCTCGGTTCTGAATAACCGAGTCCCGGCTGGTGATCTCCCGCCAGCACCCAGCGATAGCCGAGTATCACCGACAGGGGAGAGACCTGTGTATAAACACCACAGATCTCTCCCCTGTCAACTCCTGCACACTGCTTTGTATGGCTCTGCATAGCACAGCTTTAACCACTTGCCCTGCAAAGGATTTTCTCCCCTTCCTGACCAGGCCATTTTTTACGTTACGGCCCTGCATTAGTTAAACCGACAATTGCACGGTCATGCAACGCTGCACCCAAATTAAATTTAAGTCCTTTTTTCCCACAAATGGAGCTTTACTTCAGTGGTATTTTACCGCCTGTGTGTTTTTTACTTTTTGCGCTATTGACAAAAAACCCCCCAAAAACTATTTTTGACTTTTTGCAATTAAAACATAGCCAGTAAAAAATAAATATCAAATTTCATCACATATTTAGGCCAAAATGTATTCTGCTACACGTCTTTGCTAAAAATTAAATCCCATATGTGTAAATGAATTGGTTTATGTGAAAGGTATAGCGTTTACAAACTGGCGGTATATATACTAGTAATGGCGGCGATAAGTGACTTAGAGCGGGACTGTGGCAGGCATTCTGACACTGGGGGGGAACTAGCTTGGTGTCACTGACATCCCCAGTGACACCAATACAGTGATCAGTGCTAATAAAAAGCACTGACGCTGTACGATTGAGACTGAGCAGGAAGGGGTTAATATCTGGGGTGATCAAAGGGTTAACTGTGTGCCATTTTACTATGTTGGCTGTGTGTGTGCGCTTCACTGTAAGCACACTGCTTTGTATGGCTCTGCTATGCAGAGCCATACAAAGCACTGTGCAGGAGCCGACAGGAAAGAGATCTGTATTACATATCTGCTTACATACAGAGTCTCTCCCCCGACGGTAATACTCGGTGATCGCTGGGTAATCACCGGCCGGGACCTGGTGACTGACAACCGAGGACAAGAATGGCGGCGCAGGTAGGGCATGCGCATGCCCCCTACCCAGAACTGAAAAATCACGCATATATACACACACGTGATTTTGCGCACCTGTGTTGCCCTGTAGCAGTATTTCTGCTATAGGGTGGTGCGGAAGTAGTTAAAATATAATATCCAATACAAAATTTAATGCAAAACCATTACAGGTTTCCTTTACCGCCCCCCACAGACTAATTAGACACCATGGTATAGCTATAGTTTTGCAGTAAATATGCAGCATATGACTGACCTTTTTGTAGCATTTCCAGAGGTCAGTAAGGTGGTCATAACAGCGGTAGTGAAGTTCCCCACTTCCGGTGGACTGGTGGCATTCAGTAGAGGGGAAGAAGAAGAGGCTGGCAATCTGCTCACAAAACTACCTATGCCGATCCAAAATGCCATAACCAGCCCGGCAATCAGACCACTGATGGCTCCCTGATTGAAGGAGAAGGTGCATAGAGAAAAGGATGAGAACATACAACAATAACATATAAAGCCATTTATAGCTCTGCCCCAAATTACATCACCAATCTTGTCTCCAAATATCACCCAAACCGTACTCTCCGCTCCTCGCATGACCTCCTGCTCTCTAGCTCCCTTGTTTCCTCCTCCCATGCTCGTCTCCAGGACTTCGCCAGAGCTTCCCCCATCCTCTGGAACTCTCTACCCCAATTTATCAGACTGTTGCCTACTCTGCTCAATTTTAGGCGATCTCTGAAAACTAATCTCTTCAGGGAAGCCTATCCAGCCCTTAGCTAATTGAATCTACTACTCCTCCTACCACTCCACCCCCCACAGTTACTACCTTTTGTACCACCAGCCCCTCCCTCCTAGATTGTAAACTCCAAGAAGCAGGACCCTCCTATTCCTCTTGTATTGAACTGTATTGTCTCCCTTTATATTGTAAAGCGCTGAGCAAACTGTTGGCGTTATATAAATCCTATATAATAATAATAGCAACATGGAATTATACAAATTAGAGCAAAAAGATGACTGACTTGCCCATAATGGCCCAATACATAGTATAGCCCTAAACCTAATACAGACTGATATTAATTCTAGAAACAGTCCATACAAAAAAACAAACAGCAGCTCTGAGGAAGGATGTACGACTCCCAAAATGCATTAGCACATTTCACCCAAGGAACTCTGCTGTCCGTGACTGTCATCTTTGGCTTCTTGTCTCTATCTTTATGACCTTTCTGGTTTGTGAATATGCATTTGTAATTTTTTAATACATTTTCTAATTATCACGGTAATGCAGGAGGAGAGTGCGCCCCGTTTTATTCTCTTTTTTGCCAGCATCAAGATTCCCCGATCTATAGAGAGCTGTACCTCAGTGAGTGTCTGATTCCGTGTTTTCTGTGTAGCATGAAGATCTGAGCGCTGGTTTTGGTATATGTCGGCGTTCCTACGGGACATGTTCACTATGCTTTTTTTTGAGCTGCTGCGTTTTTGGAAAGAGTCAGGGACTTTTTTAAATGCATAAATCCTTAGATTGTACACCCCTTGAGGGTTGGGGACTGAAGTAAATGTACAATATATATATATATATATATATATAAATATAAAAGCGCTGCATAAATGGACGGCACTATATAAGTACCTGAAATAAATAAATAAAATAAAGCGCTTTTTTTTTCTCGCTACAATAGAGTTCATTGAAGAAGCTGCTGAAATGTATGTACTGTGGTTTTTCCACTTTTTTTTGTCGCATTATGCGTTTTTATTCTGCACAGTAACAAAAAAAAAACATGTCCACTGTAATCAAAAAACCCCCCAAAAAACAAAAAATGCAAAACGCCACACAAACACATATGCAAAACCGACAAAAAGCACAATGCATTGGTGTGAACCTGCCTAAAGGCTCCACACTACCCCTGCCCTTAAAACACAACACTACCTGTACCTGACCCACCATCAACCCCTTTTTTCCCTCAAATAAACTGCCCCCTTTGCTTCCCCGTTCTCAACAGGCTCCTTCCTACAATTCCAGCCTTAACAACATTAGCTGTAACAATCCCAATACCAACCCCTTTGCTTGTATTAATGGACCGCTTTGCTTCCACACTCACACTGGGTCCCGTGCTATAATCCCTGTCCTTAAAGCAGAGCTCCGCCCAAAAGGGGAAGTTCTGCTTTAAAGGACTGCTCCCCCGCTCCATTAAGGATTGGCACCTTTGGGGAGTGGGGGGGGGTTAGTGGGTACCCAAATTTGACAGGTACCCGCTCTAGCTTCCGGTCTGAAGGTGTCCTCCCCTCCCTGTAGTCTTTTGGGACACGCGACAGCGCAGCTGTACTCGCGCATGCGCAGTGGCTACCCGGCTATGAAGCCGCAAGCTATCACAGACGGGTGCCCACACTGAAGATGCTAGCCTCCTGGAATACAGGACGGCGGTGAACCGGTGAACCGGCTGCAGGGGACACACCACGGGACCGAGGAACAGGTGAGTGGCTGTTTTTTTTAAAAGTCAGCAGCTACAGTTTTTTGTAGCTTTTTTTCGATAGGGTGAGTGGAACTCCGCTTTAAACCACAACACTACCTGTAACTGAACCCAACACTGATCCCTTCCTCAGATTAAACGGACCCCGTTGTTTCCATATTCATATTGGGCCCCTTGCTATAATCCCTAAACACCACCACTGTAACCAAAAACCAACCATTTCATGATATACAATATATATACAGTCATGGCCGAAATTGTTGGCACCCTTGATATTTCTCCAGGAAATCATGTATTTCTCACGAAACGTATTGCATTAACACATGTTTTGCTATACACATGTTTATTCCCTTGTGTGTATTGGGACAAAACAAAAAAAGGGAGGAAAGAAAGCAAATTCGACATAATGTCACACAAACCTCCAAAAATGGGCTGGACAAAAGTATTGGCACCCTTTCACAACTGCGGATAAATAAGAATTTTTTACAAGCATTGTGATGCTCCTGTAAACTCAACCTGGGGCAAGTAACAGGTGTGGGCAATATAGAAATCACACCTGAAAGCAGCTGAAAGGAGAGACGTTCACTTAACCTTTGCATTGTGTGTCTGTCTGTGCCACACTAAGCATGGACAACAGAAAGAGGAGACGAGAACTGTCTGAGGACCTGAGAACCAAAATTGTGGCAAAATATCAACAATCTCAAGGTTACAAGTCCATCTCCAGAGAACTAGATTTGCCTTTGTCCACAGTGCGCAACATTATCAAGAAGTTTGCAACCCATGGCATGTAGCTAATCTCCCTGGTCGTGGACGGATGAGGAAAATTGATGAAAGATTGCAACGCAGAATAGTCCGGATGGTGGATAAGCAGCCCCAAACATGTTCCAAAGACATTCAAGCTGTCCTGCAGGCTCAGGGAGCATCAGTGTCAGCGAACTATCCGTCGACATTTAAATGAAATGAAACGCTATGGCAGGAGACCCAGGAGGACCCCACTGCTGACACAGAGACATAAAAAAGCAAGACTACAGTTTGCCAAAATGTACTTGAGTAGCCAAAAGCCTTCTGGGAAAAACGTCTTGTGGACAGATGAGACCAAGATAGAGCTTTTCGGTAAAGCACATCATTCTACTGTTTACCGAAAACGGAATGAGGCTACAAAGAACAAAACACAGTACCTACGGTAAAATATGGTGGAGGTTCAATGATGTTTTGGGGTTGTTTTGCTGCCTCTGGCACTGGGTGCCTTGACTGTGTGCAAGGCATCATGAAATCTGAGGATTACCAAAGGATTTTGGGTCGCCTGTAGGGCCCAGTGTCAGAAAGCTGGGTTTGCGTCCAAGATCCTGGGTCTTCCAGCAGGACAATGACCCCAAACATACGTCAAAAAAGCACTCAGAAATGGATGGCAAAGAAGCGCTGGAGAGTTCTGAAGTGGCCAGCAATGAGCCCAGATCTAAAATCCCATTGAACACCTGTGGAGAGATCTTAAAATTGCTGTTGGGAAAAGGTGTCCTTCCAATAAGAGAGACCTGGAGCTGTTTGCAAAGGAAAGAGAGTGGTCCAAAATTCCGGGGTGAGAGGTGTCAGAAGCTTATTGATGGTTATAGGAAGCGACTGATTTCAGTTATGTTTTCCAAAGGGTGTGCAACCAAATATTAAGTTAAGGGTGCCAATACTTTTGTCCAAACATTATGTCATATTTGCTTTTCTGCCTCTGTTTTAAGATTTGTTCCAATACATACAAAGGGAATAAACATGTGTATAGCAAAACATGTGTTAATGCAATACCTTTTTTGTGTGAATACTTGATTTTCAGGAAAAAATATCAAGGGTGCCAACAATTTCGGCCATGACTGTATATATTATATATATATATATATATATATATATATATTTATATTTATATATTACACACACACACTTTTTTTTTTTTTGGACACAGGCACAATTTTAGATTTTTTCAGGCATTTACCAAAACCTATTCAAGCTATCATTCTATAATGGATATGGGCTGAAAGTGTGCACTCTCAGGTTTAATTTGTGGGTATGTACATCCACATTGGAGGAAGGGTTTAGGAATTACAGCTCTTAAGAGTAGCCACCCCACCTTTTTCAAGGGACCAAAAAGGTCTCATACAGGGGGCTTTACCCCGTGTGACTTTTTTTCGTTTTGCATGCACACAAACTGTAACTTACTAACACACCGCCTCCTAGAATAACTGTGACCTAGGCTCCATTCACATATATGTCAATTGGATGCGGTTTGAATCGCATTCAATTCGCATGACATGTGAACCAGCAGCCTTCTCTAAGGGGCCGGTGCACATACCTGTGGGCTGGCCGCAGTGTGTTTTTTTTTAGTCCAGTTCAGGTGCGATTTCAAGTACAAACTCACACCTGAACCCGGACCGGACTCCTTTGAAAGAAAGGCAGGTAAACTGGCCCGCACATATGTGAACCATCCCTTAAGAATCCCAGGAGGCAGGAGGGCCCAGCCTAGGCAGGTAACCAAAAAGTAAAAGGAAAATACCCCCAAAAAAGAAAAGTGCTAAAAACAAAACAAACATTGTTCTCATTTGTGGAAGGGGGAGGGGGGCAAGTAAGACAACATTGTTGATGCTAGATGAGTTTCACTTTATGGGGTCCGAAGCAGCAGTTAAAGAGGTGTTCTTGGCCCCCTCCTTCCAAAAAAAATTAAAAGTTGGCAGCTACAAATACTATAGCCACTGACATTTATTATTAGGGCACTTACCTGTGCAAGGATCTAGTGATGTCCTCACACAAGCAGATTCTTCAATCAGCTTCGGTTGCAGGTGCCGCCATCTTGACTAAGGGAAAACTGCTTCACAGCCGGTTTCCTACTGCGCATGTGCAAATTGCGCTGTGCTTTGTGAATGTGCCGCAGTCTTCTGGGACCTATGAAGTTTTCTAGAAGGCTGTGGCGGGGGAATTGGGGGGGGGGGGGGGGGGGGGGGGGGTGAAGGGGGTCGAATTTCCAGATCAGTTTGCCACTTCGAACTGAGCCAGAAGTAAGAGCGGGTACATGTCAAAACAAGCTACCCGCTCCCCCCCCCCAAAAAAAAATTGCCAAATGTGGCAGCGGATGAAGGGAGGATGCAGATAAGTGGAGCTTCCCTTTTGGGTGTAACTCCGCTTTAAAATTTCCAACTTTCAAAAGCCCCATGAAAGCAGGAAAGGTCTATAGCCAGGGCCGGACTGACCATTCAGGCACTGCCCGAGGGCTTAGGGTCAGCATGGGGCCCAATGAAATGCCCCTGGCACCTTTCGTAGGCTTTTTTGGGTGTGGTTTGAGTGTGGGCGAGGACACAGGGGCCCCATGATCCCCTATTGCCCAGGGGCCCCATGAGTTGTCAGTCCGCCGCTGTCTATAGCGCTATATTGGGAAATCATGCCATGCAGGTAAAAGAGGAACTTGTCAAAGACAGACCGCAATACTCACAATAGCATTGGTAAAAGGAAAGAAAAATCCAAGAGAGAACAGACCAAGGAGAGGACCTCCAACGATGCCAAAAATACTCAGCGCTGCCTGTAGGGAGGAAACAAAAAAATATTAAAGTAGCAGAGATGCCTTTAACCCCTCGCCTACCGGACACTTATACCCCCTTCCTGCCCAGGCCAATTTCCATCTTTCAGGGCTGTCACACTTTGAATGACAATTGCGCGGTCATGCAACATTGCACCCATATGAAATTTTTATAATTTTTTTTGTGACAGATAGAGCTTTCTTTTGCTGGTAATCACCTCGGGGTTTTTTATTTTTTCTTAAACAAACCAAAAACCACTGAAAATTTTGAAAAAAAACGTTTCTTAGTTTTTGTTATAAAATTTTGTAAATAAGTGATTTTTCTCCTTCACTGATGTGCACTAATGAGGCTGCAGTGATGGACACTGATAGGTGGCACTGATGGGCATTGACAGGCATCATTGATGGACACTGAAAGGCAACACTGATAAAAGGCACTGATATATGGCACTGATTGGCACTGTTAGGCGGCACTGATAGGCTGCTCAGATGGGCACTGATATGTGGCATTGATGTGCACTGATATGTGGCATTGATGTGCACTGGTAGGCACTGATATGTGGCACTGATATGTGGCACTGGCAAGAATGCACTGACAACTGACAAGGCATGTGGCACTGCTGGGGCTACACAGATCATCAGGGCACACTGATCATCAGTGCCCTGATGATCAGTGTACATGTCACGTTCGCGGAAAGCAGATTACCGGCTCTCCTCTCCTCTGTCAGCGTGACAGCTCGAGAGGAGAGAATTGCAGATAACCGGCATTTCCCTGTTTACATGTGATCAGCTGTGATTGGACACAGCTGATCACATGACTGAGCTGACATCTTCGGCTCTTTCCGTGATCGGTGATCCGCTGTGTCCGAGGGACACAGCGCATCGCCGATCGCCGCGCGCTCCCTGAGCCAGGCATGCGCGGTTAGAATGGGAGGACGTCATATGATGTCCTCCCAGAACGAGAGAACCACCTTGCATCCGTCATATTACTATATAGCGGGCGGGAGGCGGTTAAGATGTAGGCAAGTCTATACTTCCAACAGTGTTAATATCATTCACAACTGAACAGTAACAAGGGGATTCTGGAGGTGCGAATCTGTACAGATTCAGTCTGTCACTTAATCCTGTGAGGAGGCCACCATATCATTGGATGTGCCAGCTATCATCAGGCAGCTCTCACCGTTTCTACACCCCCTGCATCCTGATGTCATTGTAATTCAGTGATCGGAGGCAGGAGATGCCTCTAATGACGCCCTCTACCTTGCAGAGATTCTAGGTTACTTCTAACTGGTGAAAAATTGCGGCACAGAGTTTAGACAACCAAAGTTTAGATTTAAAAAGGGGAGATTTACTAAAAATGGTGCACACAGAAACCAATCAGCTTCCAGGTTTTATTGTCAAAGCTTAATTGAACAAGCTGAAGGTGGAAGCTGATTGGCTACGATGCACAGATGCACCAGAGTCTCTGTGCACTGATTTTTAGTAAATCTCCCCTCATTGCGTCTCCAAGCAAGAGAAGGAAATTTAGTATATTGCAGCTTTTCAGTCCTTAGGTGTGATTGTAGCATTCAGGGTTTTTTTTTCCCCGCATGTTTAACTGGTTATCCTGACAGTTAGGCCCCATGTACACGGGACACTTCTGAATGATGGAAAATAAACTGCTGGAAACCGTAGGTTAGAAAACATCTGTTTAGCCGCGCTTGCATACCGCGTTTATGCATGTTTGCGTTTAGAAGAGTTTTTTTTTTTTTTTAAATTTATTTCAGGTACTTATAGAGCGTCATCAATTAACGCAGCACTTTACATATATATAGTACATTCACATCAGCCCCTAACCCTCAAGGGGCGTACAATCTAAGGTCCCTAACTTACATTCATATACTAGGGCCAATTTAGACAGGATCCAAATTAACCTACCAGCATGTCTTTGGAGTTTTTTTAACCACTTGCCTACCAGGCACTTATACCCCCTTCCTTACCAGGCCAATTTTCAGCGTTCAGCGCTGTTACACTTTGAATGACAATTGCGCGGTCATGCAACATTGTACTCATGACATTTTTATCATTTTTTTTCTCACAAATAGAGCTTTCTTTTGGTGGTATTTACTCACTGCTGGGTGTTTTATTTTTTGAGCTATAAACAAAAAAAAGAGCAAAAAAAAAAAAAAAAAAAAAGTTTCTTTGCATCTATTATAAAATTTAGCAAACAGGTAATTTTTCTCCTTCACTGATGTGCGTTGATGAGGCTGCACTGATAGGCGGCACTGCTGGGCGCAGGTGGGTAGCTCTGATCATCAGTGCCCTGATGATCGGTGCCAATCCCTGCTCTGACAATTGCCGGTTCTCGGTAATACTTTCCTCGCACTCTGACAGCGTGTGGAAAGTGCAGCTGAGAACCGGTAGTTGCATTTCCCGGTGATCAGCGTGTCATTGGACACGGCTGATCACATGGTAAAAGGCCGCTGTGATTGGCCTTTTACCGCATAACGTGATTAGCTGTGTCCGTAAGACACAGCAATCACGGAGATCGCCGGGGGAGCGCGTTCTGGGAGGACGTCGTATGACACCCTCCCAGAACTGGCTGGCCATAGTGAAGCCGTAATTCAGCTACCTGCGGTTGGCAACTGGTTAAAGATAACCTCAGGAGACCCTTCCAAATGCCCAGAATGCACTGAAATACAGTAAAAAATTTACTTTTTCAGACATTTTGAGAGAAATAAGAGAGCAGAAGCAGAGAGAGCAGTATGTGTTGAGATTAGCTGTCTTTTTTGTGGTGTTTGGATGTGTTCCGGCTGATTTCTGTGCAGAAATGATTGTAGCAGTGTCCAACATATTTTATTTCATGCGAAACTTCAAAGCATGGTGTACCATGTGCATTTGAGTACCGGGAAAACGCTTTGCATGCATTTTTCATGATGAAAAAAGACTCTGGACAGCATCTGGAAACGGAAGAGTTAAAAAAATTTTTTTTCCAAAACGCAAACGCTTATTAATGCAGCTAGCCATGTTTATAAGCTTTTAGAATGCTGATAAAAATCTACTCCTGAAAGCAAGTTTGGTGCGTTCAAAAAAACGACTGTAAACGCAACTGCCTGTAAACGACGATGTGTATATGGACACATAGGGAAACGTTAGGGAGAGTTCAGGGGCTGCTGAAAAAAAACGCTGAACAGCTCCTGAACGTGAGTTTATCAGCTGCAGTGTACATGGAGCCTAATACAGGATGACGACACTCACTCACTGTACTGTGGCTATGGAGGAGCCATGTGGTCACCCTAGCACGGGGCTATAAAACCACCCTCTCCCTTTCCTCTTCTCCATAATTTAGGTGGTGCTCTGTAGTCCATAAAGAACGGTAAACAATGATAAATTGAACCAGTTAGTACAGTTATCTGTTACATTGCGTTCAGTCATCTCCAAAGACCACAGAACTATGCCTTTCTTTGTTATGGAAAAAGAGTCAAAGAGCAGAGTTCTGGTGTACCATCCTGCTTCCATTGTCCTGATATATTGGGGTGAGCGAGTGCCGTCACCCTGGGACTGTAAGTGTGTTATTGACAGAATCACTAGGTGAAAAAAAAAAAAAAAAAAAAAAAAAAAGAAAAACAAAAAAAAAAAAAACGTCAGCAGACGCCACATCTAAGTACTGTTAAAGTGTTACTAAACCCACAACAGTAAAATCAGCCTGTAAAGCATGCTTGTTATACTGACTGTGGAACCTAAGGGGTTAATCTTATGCATTGTGCAAAAAGGCTGTTTGATCCTGTCTTCTCTGCTCCTCCTCTTGTTCACATGTCCACGTCTCATCTCCTGATAAGACAGACTGAATCTATATCCACTCTGCACATGCTCAGTTTAGTGCGTATTAGGAGAGAGTACATGTGATCAGCACAGGGCCAATCTGCTCTGTCCAGACAGAGGGTCAGGGGTTCTGCATCCTCCAAGAGCAGAAATAAAACGCCTCCGACAAGCTTTAACCAGTGCTCTGCTGGACACTGATAGAAGTCACAAGACTGCTCTAACTGCTTTTGAGAAAAGGTATTTAGCAGTTTATATTTACTAAAATAATTGCAGACCGGATTTCCATGTTCTGAGTACTGTGGGAGGGTCCAGATATAGTGAATGCAGGGTCCAGGGAGACCCGATCTAGTGAATGCAGGGTCCAGGGAGACCGGATCTAGTGAATGCAGGGTCCAGGGAGACCGGATCTAGTGAATGCAGGGTCCAGGGAGACCGGATCTAGTGAATGCAGGGTCCAGGGAGACCCGGATCTAGTGAATGCAGGGTCCAGGGAGACCGGATCTAGTGTGAATGCAGGGTCCAGGGAGACCCGATATAGTGAATGCAGGGTCCAGGGAGACCCGATATAGTGAATGCAGGGTCCAGGGAGACCCGATATAGTGAATGCAGGGTCCAGGGAGACCCGATATAGTGAATGCAGGGTCCAGGGAGACCCGATATAGTGAATGCAGGGTCCAGGGAGACCCGATATAGTGAATGCAGGGTCCAGGGAGACCAGGGTCCCAGGAATATAGTGAATGCAGGGTCCAGGGAGACCCGATATAGTGAATGCAGGGTCCAGGGAGACCCGATACAGTGAATGCAGGGTCCAGGGAGACCCGATATAGTGAATGCAGGGTCCCGAGGAAGACCCGATATAGTGAATGCAGGGTCCGGGGAGGCCAGATATAGTGAATGCAGGGTCCGGGGAGACCAGATATAGTGAATGCGGGGTCCGGGGTTTTTTTTTTAACACTTTAACCTGCAATATATTCCTTTTCTAGGTTTAGATATGCTTTAGGCTACAAGGAAAAAAAAATATTTACCTGCAGGACAGAGCCCATCAGAGAGGAGACATAGGCCATTCCCAGGCAGAGGAATCCATAACCGAGAGCTGTAAATAAATGGGATAAAACTAGACAAGGCAAAAAACTCAGGCAGCAGGATTACAGAGGGATGAATGAGAGCTGAAATCTCCGCAAGACCATTTACTACATGGCAGCAGCATCCAATTCCACCAATATGTACCAAACATTTCAGCCGTCCGTATTATCATCTAAGCGTTTTCCATAATTAATGAAAATAGTTCTAAAAAATGGAAAATGTGACTTCATGTTAGTGTGAGATTTAGTGATAAATACCCCACAACTGTCACCAATTTCATTATTTTCCTAATATTTGTCAATTTTCTCCCATTTTCTTTAATCTGTGATGGATTTATTCTCTCCCCCCTTTTTACCTATTAAAAAAAAAAAAAAAAAAAAAAAAGTCAATGAAGGCAATTCTATTTATTTAGAGCAGAGATCGATTAGAAACTCTGTTTAATGGCAGGCAACTGTTTGATTTGCAAGTACATGTTTACATCTACGGACAGCCGTGGCTCCTTTCAGCCAATCATTGAGCTGTATACACTGAGCAGCTGCTGCTGATTGGAACATCTGGGATTCCAGCTGCATGTATACAGAATATAATATTGCCAAATGATGCAGCTCCAGTGAATATAACAAAAACATACAAAAAAAAACCAAAAGGGGTCCTGAGAATGTTTGTTTGGACGAAACTAGTAGGGGCGGAGTCTCGGTGCTTATGTCACGCTGCTGCTCGATTCTGGGTCATCAGCGGATCTCAGTGAGCTCCATCTGTTCCAGTGGGAGACACCTTTTGCTGCTGCCTAAAAAGGAGTAGTTTTTGGAGTGAAAGTACATACATCTGGTGAGGGTTTGTGCCTGAGAAACATGCTGTGTCTGCTGTGCCTGTTTGGCGAGTGTGCATTCGATTAAGGGGTCAGTACTTGGTGTTTCTGTTACACTACAAGGATCTACTGAATGGTGGAAGATCTTTTTTAATCTGAATATACACTGCTCAAAAAAAAAAAAAAAAAAAAAAAAATCAAAAAAGGAAGACTTTTTAATCAGAGTATACAATCAAGTCAATGAAACTCCTGGGATATTGATCTGCTCAGGTAAGTAGCAGAGGGGGTTGTTAATCAGTTTCAGCTGCTTTGGTGTTAATTAAATTAACAACAGGTGCACTAGATGGGCAACAATGAGACAACTGCCAAAACAGGAATGGTTTTACAGGTGGAGGCCACTGACATTTTTTTCCCTACTCATCTTTTCTGACTATTTTTCACCAGTTTTGCATTTGGCTAGGGTCAGTGTCACTACTGGTAGCATGAGGCCATACCTGGACCCTACAGAGGTTGCACAGGCAGTCCAACTCCTCCAGGATGGCACATCAATACGTGACATTGTCAGAAGGTTTGCTGTGTCTCCCAGCACAGTCTCAAGAGCATGGAGGAGATTCCAAGAGACAGGCAGTTACTCTAGGAGAGCAGGACAGGGTCATAGAAGATCCTTAATCCATCAGCAGGACCGGTATCTGCTCCTTTGTGCAAGGAGGAACAGGATGAGCACTGCCAGAGCCCTACAAAATGACCTCCAGCAGGCCACTGGTGTGAATGTCTGACCAAACAATCAGAAACAGACTTCATGAGGGTGGCCTGAGGGCCCAACGTCCTCTAGTGGGCCCTGTGCTCACTGCCCGGCACCATTGAACTTGATTGGCATTTGCCATTGAACACCAGAATTGGCAGGTCCACCACTGGCACCCTGTGCTTTTCACAGATGAGAGCAGGTTCACCCTGAGCACATGTGATAGACGTGAAAGGGTCTGGAGAGGCCGTGGAGAACGTTATGCTGCCGTAACATCGTTCAGCATGACCGTTTTGGTGGTGGGTCAGTGATGGTCTGGGGAGGCATATCCATGGAGGGACACAGACCTCTACAGGCTAGACAATGGCACCCTGACTGCCATTAGGTATTGGGATGAAATCCTTGGACCCATTATCAGACCCTATGCTAGTGCAGCGGGTCCTGGGTTCCTTCTGGTGCACAATGCCTAGCCTCAGGTGGCGAGAGTATGCAGGCAGTTCCTGGAGAACAAAGGCATTGATAGAACTGAATGGCCCCCATGCTCACCTGACCTAAACCCAAGTTGCTGCAATGAAATTTCAGCAAAATGGACTCGCCTGCTGCATCATTTTTTTCACTTTGATTTCGGAGTGTCTTTGAATTCAGTGCTCTGTAGGTCGATCATTTTCATTTCCATCAACAGATGGGGCATCCTTACGTTCCTAACACATTACCCAGTCCATATCAGTATAGATATCCAGTAGGAGATTTTTTTCAAAGCGTTCCTATTTATTGAGCAGTGTATAAGGACTTTGATTTACTTTTTTTTTTTTTTTTTGTATGTTTTTGTTATATTCACTGGTGCTGCATCATTTCACAATACTATAAGTCTTTAGGTTTGGGTATATCAAACTTTGCCAGTGGCCACACGTGGTATCACAGCGCAGATGTATTACAATGCGTAGGTATCCAGAATATACTTGCAGCACCATGGTCGATTTTGGACATGTGAATGAAGCCTAATAGTTGCCAGTGTGCATATATAAAGCTCTCACATGAATGTTCACCTTGGATAGTGAAAGGCTGCATCACTTTTTATATTGCCTATAGCAGGCCTCAAAATTTCCACTCGCCTGCTCGCATTTGGCGAGTGGAAATAAGGTGGGGGCAAGCATCCCACAGGGCCAGCTCAGTCACTCGCAATCGAAGCTGTCAGACTGCTCAATACACTGTGCAAAGTGAAGGCAAAGGACAGGGGGAATGTGTGCTGTGCTCTCTTGCTTACCTCTAGAGTGCAGTACCCAGCTCTGTGATGAAAGGTAATGTACTGCAACTTTTTATAGGGCTGTGTACATATGACTGTATGTGTATGTCTGTATGTGTGTGTGTGTGTGTAAGCATACATGTATGGGTGGTTTGGACAGGTTCAGGATTATAATTGGTGGTATATAAAAATATATGTGCAGCGCTAATCAACAAATTAAAATTAAGTATATGTGAGAAATGTCCCCAATTAAAAGAACATAAATCAGTGAGTCTCTAAAATGAACAAAGTGATATACAGCTTCAATCCAGTGGTGGTGCTCCCAGTGGAGAGGTAAGAATTACGCACTCACCAGAAGCGTAATTTAATTACGCAGTATGTAAATCAACAGGGATCCCCTTCACAGGTATGGGCCTGGACTGGAACTCAGGGTAGATTCTCCTTCAAGATGATATGGATATGGGCCCTCAAAGGATGTAGCTGGCCAGAGGTCCCTTTAAGGGATAGGTGGGTACAGATGCCTGCTTACAGGTGCTTCCCTCTCTGGGTATAGTGGACTGCTAGCTGGATCACGGCAGGGCTCTATAAATAATATAGCTCAGGCCAGAGGGTCCACTCCAACTGTTGCACACATATCTTGGAACTTGACTTGAACTGAGGATTCTTACGGATTTCTTGCTTGCGTTTACTAGCAAACTCTTCTAGATTTGTTTTAAACATCTCTAACTGTTTTGACCTCTGTGCAAGCTGGCCCTCAGCCAAGACCGTCTCTCGTTCTTTGTATTTGGCCTCAGCCAGCTTCTTCTTGGCTATGGCCCCCCCTCCCTCTATAATAGGTGGTAGAGTATGGGGCATTTGAGGTACTGCTAGATTGGAAAGAAGGTAGGATATGCTTGGTAGAGTTATGGTCTGGTGAGAGATTATGGGGGGTTATGTTTGTATACACGTGCATGGTCTAAGTATGATGGATGTTTAGGGGGACATAGGAGGCCCTGATTTAATGGGGGGGACTGTAGGAACCCTGAAGTAATGTGGGGAACACTAAACATTGTCATTTCATGAGATAATTTACAAAAGTTTGTTTAGGGGTGGAATTAGGGGTGTGGCAGGGTGGGGCAACAGGTGACGAGTAACTTAAGGCCTGGCTAGTAGCTCAGGACTCTACATTTTGAGCCCTGGCCTATCAGCCTCTACTTTAACTGCCACTGGACACGTACACACTTGATGGTTACTAAACAAGCACATTGTCAGACTTGCAATCAGATGTTGAAAGTCCAGTCATATTTCCAAATTAAAATAACTTATGTGACAATATTATTAGCAATTACTATCCCTGTACGTGGACAACAATTGTCCATGCTTTTCAGTTTTGTGTAGACTGACCCTTCAACAATTCAAGGTTATGTGTTAGACCACAGTTGTTCCTAATTCCTTCTGTAAACCCGGACTAGTTTTCTACTCTGCAGAGGGACAACAGCTTACAGGTAGTAGGAAATCTAACCAAACCAATCTACTCAACAAACAACCCAATTATAGGATCGGTAATCCAGTCCACGCCTAATGGAGGGCTGAAAGGTTGGGATGTTTCCAATACACAAAGGATTATAAAACAGTTGTGGAGCACTAAGGAAAATGAGAATGGTGCAAACATAGGAAACGTGACATCATGCGCCACCTGGAACTCGTACCCAGAATCCAATGGGGCATCAGGATACCTCAAACTGAGTGGTTCAAATGTCCGCAGTAGGCGGGGGAACCTGCACGGGACATGAGAATTTACCACACAGTTTTCAAGTATACGCTGTATTCCTCCGTAATGTGGGATGAAGAGGTGCAGAAATTATCTGGGGTAATTTTTGCAGCGGAATAAGAAATGAATGGTGTATGGTCACACAACACTACACAGGAAGAACATCAGATGTATTTTTATTTTTTAATTGTTCTAAATTAAGTATCTTGTCAAATGGAACCAAAACAAGATTTGTGCAATTATGGGAAAATAGTTTTCTTGGATCATTCTGGTTATACTGCTGCCTACAGGAGGTTGGGACACTGGCAAACAGAAAATGCTGTAAAACCCCCCTCTACCCAACATGCCCTGGTTCTGAACAAGCAGTGCACAGGGCCAGAAAAAAGGAAAAAAAAAAAAAAAAAAAAAAAAAAAAAAAAAAGAAGAAGAAGAGCACCGACTTGTGTCCCTCATTGAACTTGAAGAAA